TGAAGTCGAAAAAAAGGAAATTTTAAGTTGTTGCATGCAGATTTGGCTGTGTTCAATTCAAATCGATTTGTTGTTCTTGTGTTTTTACAAAATTTATACTTCCAACAGCTGTAAAATGAATGATATGAGTCAATTCATTGAATATGTGTGCGAATCGCAAAAGAATATTTTTAAGTACCTGGTTTAATTACAGATTAAAATGGAAGAAATAATCATTTATAGTTTCTGAAAAAAAAACATAAAAATACATAGGTAAATAATAATTTCAATCATCTACATTGAAAAAGAACAGATAATGTTTCCTTTTCTCTAGAAGTTATTGAATTAATGATTGATCTAACCAACATTCATAATCTAAATTCATTTTCGATTTTACAGAACTTCTGTCAAAGAAAATAAACGTTGTTAGTTATCAAATATGATAATCAGTTAGAAATTTGCCAGGTTCAGAATTTTCTCTAGATTTGGAACTGAGTTTTTGCCACAAACTCAAATATTCTAATCCCTAAATCTTTGCACCGAGTGGTGTAAACATTTGATATTTCAAACTTGGAATATTTTACCATAAGAATTCAAAGTTTGATATCTACGAGTACTCTATAAACTCAACACAAATAAAATGCAGTTCAGAACTTTTTTTTACATTAAATGTTTACAATAACCTTGCCTTGAGAATTGAGAAAGATAAAAATATTCTTTTTAAAACTAACTATAGTATAATAAAATTTCTTCAATAACTTTTGCCGGTAGGGCAAAAAAGATTAGATTGGCTTGTTTCGTAAAATTGGGAGGAAGAAAACAGAAGGGAGGATGATCTAGATGAAGTTGATATGTTTGAAGGTGGGGGTGGTAGCTGTTGTATCAGATCTATCTATAACCATCCATCTGACTCTTTCACTCTCTTCTCCGCTATCTGGTTGTTTAATGAGCACTATGATTCCGATGATTTATTAATGTTTATAATCCACGATCACATAGGTAGAACAAACTCGCTTAAAGTAAGCCAATTGTGAGAGGCTTAGTGGGATTTCTTAGCAACACTACATGATGGAGTGTGTTCTTTTAACTGGTCGGGCTTGTACTAATTAAAATCCTGGTTTGATTTCAAGGTAAAAATAGCAAATAACAATTTACAAGATAAAAATAAATAGATCTAAATTGAATGATAAATTGATGAATTGATACATCATTAAATTAATAATTCTTGTTTTGGGATATAACCACCCCTAAACCAAGCCAACCATTTAAAACCATGCAGGTAGAGAAAAGATAGAAATCCAAGCGCCAGATACAACTGGTGTATATAAAGGTTTTCTAAAAAGGCATTCATGAAACAATAATACATTATTAAATCATAATATTTTGTTTGCTATGTTGTCATTTGTCATGTAAAAAGTCGGCAATAATATAAAACATTTCTGTCTGATTTTATAAGTAAAATCCCAAACTGAAGGAATCCCAAATGAATGTTAACCAATGTTGGGATTGGAAGGATTGGGATTAGGATGAGGACTAGGAAGTTGGAATAGGTTAGACAGGGATAAATTGGGAATAGATAAAATAGGTTGGGAATTGGGATGGATAACAACTAAACAGGAAGTTGGGATTGGAATTCAATGAATGTGAGGATGATAAAAGGGTTGGTAAATCGGAAGTTGGAGTGATTGGGAAGATTGAGTAATGAATAGATGTTCTAAGGGGACCACAGTATTGGAAAGAGAATCAGCAAGATATAGAAGTTCAGAACAGAGATACAGATATAATAAAATACGTGTGTAAAGACTATGGAGAATATGTAGTTTAGTGGATAAAAATGTTTAATAAATATAAAAACTATGGAGAATATGTAGTTTAGTGGGTACAAATGTTTATAAGGAGAGAAGACGACATTTTGGAAGGAATTAGTGGATTACTGTTAAGTTGGGATAAGAGAGAGAAAAATATCATCATTAGAATCATTCAATACTCTGAAACAAACTCTATTGGTTTTCTTATTCCTGTGATACTGATTTTCACCATTCTTTCTTTCTTTTGATTCTGCAGGGGGGGCCGGCCGCCCCCCCCCCTAGTTGCGCCTCTGTTTCTAATACTAGTTTGGCCGCAAAACATCCTGAATAGACCTGAAAAACGTAAATCTCAGTATAATGAACATTTTCCCCCAACAATTATAGATTTTGTCATTTAGTAAATAACAAAACAAAAAAATTTTTTTTTTAAAGAGATCAACATTTTTTATATTAATCTTGGACCCTTATACAAATTGCTTTGTAAAAGGACCATTATTTTCAAGTTTTAATATTTTCTTAAAATGGTTCGACTACGAATTGTACACCACATTTACAAGGTTACCCACAAAGGATGAGACTTTAAGGGCGACCTGAAACTCTTCTTTTTTTCTTAATAAATTATCCCTAATTTTTGAATATTTTGAAAACGTTATTATTAAATAAAAGTGGATACAAATATCAATTTCAGGATACATTCGCCCCACCTCTATTTTAGAGTAGACACCACCAATTGCGTTAGCTCTCGAATCATAATTTCTGGATAAACTTATCAGATTTTTTGAATAATTTGAAAAAACTTCCACATTAATTATACACATACAACAATTTGGGGTTGTATTAAGTAAAGTCTTTAAATGGTATTCTTACATGTGTTTCAGTGAAAGAACCCAGTTTACAGTTTATTATGATTCAGATGAAATAATGCTGCAAACAAAGACCTTAAATTCGTCTCTGAGTCTCATCCTTTTTGGGTAATCCTGTAAAATGTACATGAAAAAATCGTTTAAATTTTAAATTTTTTTTTAGCAATTTAAAGATATTTTTTTTAAATGTTCAAATCTGTGGATTCTCATATTTGAACTACTCCCGTTTGAACTATTGTTCGTTTGAACTATTGTTCATTCGAACTATTGTTCATTTGAACTACTGACATGACGTCATATCCTGTAGTTCAAATCAACACATTACTTGCTCATTTGAACTATTTTTCTAGCAATTCAGTTTTTAATTTTTTAAAATTTTCATAATTAAGTTAGTTCATGACAATATAAGATAACAATTATACACAGAAATTTTTCAAATGAACATAAAAATTGATTAAATTAACAAAAAAATAGTTCAAATGAACATAAAAATAGCTTAAATGAAAAAAATAGTTCAAATGAACTTAATAATAGTTCAATTGAGAAAAAAAATAGTTCAAATGAAATAGTTCAAATGAAAAAAAAATAGTTCAAATGAGAAAAAAATATTTAAAATGAAAAAATGACAAAAAAAATAGTTCAAATGAACAAAAAATAGTTCAAATGACCAAATTTAAATAGTTCAAATGAACATGAAGATAGTTCAAATTAAATAATTAAAATGAAAAAAAATATAGTTTAAATGAGAAAAAAATAGTTCAAATCAAAAAAAAAAGATTTCAAATAAAATAGTTGAAAAACATATAAATAGCTAGTAACCTTACAAAGTCTAAAAATATTTTTTTTGCTCAAAAAATTAACTTTAACATTATCAGCAACAAGCTGGCGCAACAAGTGTGGGTCAGTCCTAGAGAACGATTTGAACTATTTTTTTGTTCATTTGAACTTTTTTTTGTTCATTTGAATTATTTTTTTGTTCATTTGAACTATTTTTACGTTCATTTGAACTATTTTTATGTCCATTTGAACTATATTTTAATGTTAATTTAAACTATTTCCTTGTGTATGTTTCATTTATAATATCAATAGTTCAAATGAATAATATACTTCAAATGAACTGAAAAACAATTCAAATGAGCAATATCTTTACTCGTTTGAACTAATGTTCATTTACGTACCATACGTGCAGTATTTCAAACGAACAATAGTTCAAATGAACAATAGTTCTTAAACGGGAGTAGTTCAAATGAGATAGCATCGTTCAAATCAGATTGATAAGTATAAATGTCGTCTTGTATCTTAACATAGAAAACTCTAAATGTCGTCTTATATGGCAACTTTCCTACGTTTATAATGTTTTTGATTTCAGATTTGTCTTGTCTCAGCTGTTTACTAGTCATCACGCATATATTTTTATTTTTATTAATTCTGAGATTAGGGTTAGGCTTGTTTTTCTTTGATTGCATTAGGTTTTAGAAGTAAATTAAATTAATAAATTGATAGTAAAATCAAATGATCTAATGCAATTCATTGAAGCAAAAAGAAATGGTAAGATGCATAGAGAATAGAATATATACAGAGAGGAATTAAAAGAATCTCTCGGTATGAACTTTGTCAGTCCCTTTCAGACTGAAAAGGAGTTCAAAGTGTACAAATCATGTAAATGTTCACAAATTATATGCAGAAGAGTACATTAATACAGTATGTTCCCTAGACTATCCATTTCAATTTCGAATTTTTTAAACTGGTAAATAAACTTTATAATGAATAAGGTGAATAAAAACATCATTTAATTTATAGGTATAACGGAAAATCATCGTTTGTAAAGTGGAAACCATAGAGTCTATGTGAAATGATCATTGGTCAATTATGAAACCAGCCTTTTTCATAATTGGTTTTCTTTTAACAATAATTTTAGATTTTCTATAAAATGATATTCCAGGGCCCAATAGGTTATATGCATAAATATGTGAAGTACACCTGCAGTATGGAAACAGTACAACAAAATGGCCGTTTTACACTTTTTTCTAGTAAATTCCTCTCTATATATTCTATTCTCTATGGTAAGATGGCTTACTTAGGCAGGGGGGGGGGGCGCTCCACCCCCAATAAAATTTATGCATAAAAGTTTTTTTATGGATGCTGACCCCCCCCCCCCTGGATTATACCTGATTACACCCCTTGAAATGGTGTTATGCCTGTATTTCATTAAACAAATATGCTAACTTTATTTTTCAGATAGAATGGCAGAGATAAAAAAGAGAGAAGTACTTTTTAATTTTTTTTTGTTGAAAAAAAATTAATAATCTCAAATTCGAATTTTTTTCTAATTTAAGCATTTTCAGATATAATGGCAGAAATATTTAAAGAAGAATTTAATATAGAAGAGTTTGAGATAAAAGAAGAGATACTTTCCATCAAGGAAGAAATCCTTCCCTCCTCTTTTGTAGAGGATACAAGTACTGTTAATCTAAACAAAGATGATATAAAGATGGAAAATACAGAAATGCAAGGTTAACTTCATGTTGTCAGAATTATTTATTAAAGAGTAAATATACATTAATTTCTACCTTGAGTTGTTATTTTGAAGGGGGCTCGGATTTTACTGTGAAGTTTTGTTTAAAACTTGGAATAATTAATTAATTACTTAAAATAATTTAAAATATACTACACTTAGGGAGCATAACATAAGAAACCCCCTCCCCCCTGTGGTATAAAAAGAAGCAGGTTTTTCTTCAAAATACAAATTATTTTTTGAGAAAAATTTATCTTTTCATAAAATAACTATATTTAATCTCTTTAAAAAAAACTCATGAGCTGAAGGGGGGGGGGGTTAATAAACCATGAGAGTGAACCTGTATTTTCTAGGTGTATTGAACCTACAGATTTTAGGTCAGAAAAACTTTTGGTTGTAAACTCAATAGGTTCGTTTCCTCTAGGTTCGATGAGCGGGTACCCATTTAACACCTTGAAATAGATTAAATAGAAATAATATTAGAAAATATTAAAACCTTAATTAAACACATACATTCATGTTTAGATACGATTGAGAATCAACCTGTATTTGATCCTGATTTTCACACAGAACTAATCATTAAAGATGAAATAGAGGATTCAGGTAATTGGAAATCTTACATTTAAACAATAAATATCATTGGGAAAATTCATAAATTGATAAAATACAATAAATACAGTTCATAAATATTAAAGTTGTTAACGATAAAGATAATTAAATATTTGATATAAAAATCGATCTTTAACTATTCAGGAGAAAACATGGATCAAGGATTTGAGCCGGAACTAAAGAGAACTAAAAGAAGTAAAGTGGGATTTCCTTGTAATAAATGTGAGCATGTTGCAACCAGAGCTTATTACCTGAAAATTCATGTTGAAAATATACATGAAGGAGTGAGATATCCTTGTTCTCAATGTGAGTATTCTGCAACTACAGCAAATAGACTGAAGA